CTCTTAATTTGAAAATAACTGTCACCCTGTTTCAATTGATCAAACGCCCCAAGAAACGCGCTTTTCCTTACTCTCTGCGCTTTCCTCAGATGGATCTTGACCAGAAAGCGTATATTGTTTGTAGTTAGGCCTAGGTAATTATGCAAAACCCAGACCTAACTAAAAAATAAAAATTGCCACAGTATGTAACTCAAGTTAAAATAACACTTTTTTACTCATGCAGCTCCATCAAATATTATGTCATTTAAACGACCCATTAGTATTAGCATGGTAGCATCAATGTATTTTTAAAAATTAGACAGCGACGTTCTCTCAGATCAGAAGTTGTTGATGACCTTTTGACCTGAATTCTGCAATATGAGATTTTCGGGTCGATTCAGTCGAGACGGCCCGAGTGGAGTTTCATGTAAATGTTTCGTACGGAAAAAAAAAAATCGCGGACCGGCCGCGGGCAATGAAATACGTTACGTAACGGCAGATCCGTGTTTCTGGCAAGTGTGTAATATAAACATGACCTTAGACTTACTTAACACGGGTTTATGAAGGGGAGGTCTTGCTTAACTTACTTGCTTATGTTTTTGGAGGTGACTGACAGTGTCACAGGGTTTTGATCAGGGTTTTCCCGTCAATGTAGTTTATTTTGACTTCCAAAAAGCATTCGACAAAGTACCTCATGTTTGTTTAATTAATAAAATCTTAGCACATAGTATAGAGGCCCATTTAGGTTTATGGATTAAGAATTGGCTTTATGATCGATCACAAAGGGTGGTTGTTAATGGCAGAAAATCGGAGTGGTCCTCTGTTGTTAATGGTGTCCCACAAGGTTCAGTGCTTGGTCCTATTCTTTTTCTAATTTTTATTGATGATACTGATATTCCTATTGCCTCATCTTTACTAAAATTTGCTTTTATGATATTAAATAATTTAGACAAGTGGAGTTAAAGGATGATTCTGAAATTATGCAGAGTGACATTAATAAGTTGTCTAATTGGTATCATGAATGGTTAATGTCTTTCAATGTTAGCAAATGTAAAGTCATGCATTTCGGTTATAATAATTTAAAGTATTCTTACGAACTGGATGGTTCTGTCTTGGAAGAGGTTGCCAACCAGAAAAATCTGGATGTAGGGCCTAGTCATAGACAACTCACTTAAAGTTAATCAATGTGTTGTTGCTGTTAAAACTGCCAATAGAGTCCTTGGCACTATCAAAAGATCTATAAACCCTAGGTCCTTGAGCTTGAGGCCTAGGTAGGGCCTAGCTAGGCCCTAGGCCTAGTCTAGAGAGGCCTAGGCCTAGGCCTAATATAGTAATATATACATACATAGGCCTAGGCCTATCTAGTATCCTATTTGGTTTGGATGGGAATAAATCTGATTTAGGTCTATTATAAACACTAGGCCCTACATACCTTCTCAACCTTTGTAGTCATAGTTGAAACCGATTTTGTCAAACCAAAGGAAAGTTCTTACTTAATTAGGCCTAGGCTAGTCCTCTTTTTCCTGGGCTTTTGAGTTACTAAATTGGGAAGCAGCCGCACCACCGCACTCAAAATGTATGGAACGCCAGTAGCGCTATACATACTCTCTGATATTAGGCATTTTTCGTTTTGACTACGCGACCAGTCTCTACTACGAACTATGGAGCGTGACGGCAACGCCAGCTTGGTTCCCACATGGAGGTGGTATTTGAGAAGGAGATCACTCGGCAACAGATCTCTTTGACGCGACAACTAATTGCTATGTTCTCACAGCCATAGAGATTGACTGTTAGTGCGCATAGATCCCTTTGACGCGACAAACCCATGTGTTCCCCGCTTTTGGATCGCGCGCGGGCGTATTACCCTATAATTCACGTTTTTTCATTAGCAACAACTTGGCAACGACATGAATTTATACGCTTCCAGCAGAGCAGTTGTGCAATAAAGCGTTTGATTTTAACCCATTAAATATCTATAAATGAACAATGTTCCCCTAATTAGATTTTTTCGGACTTTTGGTATGTTATTATTTGTATATTTCAGGAATGGATTCCGTAAAATATTTATGTTAAAATCACTTCTGTGTTCATTCGAATTTTGTCTAAAGATTGATTAGTTCGACTATAAAGCTTAGTCAGCGTAAACTGAAAAATACTCAGATTTTGGATTGATTTTTCGAATAATTAACCCTCGTTAACCCTAAAATGACTTAGTTTATTATAATCCTCAATCATTTATTAATTAATATCTGTTGAAATTATAATTAGCGAATGTTGGCCAATTTATGGAAATTGAAGTTGAAATATACTATACTTTTAAAAGTCGTGTAAATGTTCCATTAAATTCGAAACTTTTTTTGATGGAAAATATTAATGTTTGATATTATATGAAATAAGTGTATCAGCTTCAAAATGGAAACGATTGCGCAGCCATAGTGATTGGCTGTATGTAGTGCGCATCGAGAAAAGAAGGTGCTCTCCATTTCGCCATGTTCAATTTTTTGGTAAACTATGCCTGCTGAAAATTTGATGGCGGGGAACACATCAGACATCAAAGGCATCGCGCAAACGTTCTTCACGCGCTGCGGCAGCTTTGATCTTGGGTCATTTGCATAGCGCTACGTGCGCGTAGCTTTTTCGAGCGATCTCCTTCTCAATCTCCATGGTTCCCACTAGGACGCAACGCAACGACGTAGACGCAATGTATCAACGCAAAGTGTGACACAACTCGAGGGTTCTGCAGCTTCCAAGTGGGTACCGACGACGCAAACTTGGCTACGCAACGTAACACCGCCGCTACTCAACTTATACAGTCGCCATCGCCCTTAGTCATTGCTAATTTAATAGTAGTATGCAATTAGTAGAGCTCTGCATAGTACACTATAGGAAAATTATTATACGAAAGTTAGATTTAATGCTTTAAACAAATTGCAAGGCCCGAATGAAATTTTTGAATGCATTAAATCAAAACTAAGTATAATAATTTTCCGCTAGTGTACGATGCATGCTCTACTAATTGCTTTATAAGTCAATCGCCGTCTTTTAATGTTAGTTTTATTATTATATTTATTATTATTATTTATTATTATTATTATTATTATTATTATTATTATTATTATTATTATTATTATTATTATTATTATTATTATTATTATTATAACCAACCAGGGGTGGCGCCAGCGGGGTGGAACACTTTTGAGAGATCCGACCACGCCCACTATTTTTCTTCCCCATCCCCCTACCCCGTCGGGAAAATCCAGGCGCCAACCAATGATATTACATTGGATTTAAATATTTTTCTGAATCTAGCACACTCTGTTTGACTCTCATTTTAGCTTTTTATGTTTGTCTTATGTACAGTATGTAATCAATGTTAAGGAAATACATTCAGGCCTTGTTATACAGATCTGCGTATACAAAATTTTAATTCTAGATTTACAAAAACGTGAACATGTCATACAATTTGTAATTAAATACTAACTACTGTAGTAGACTCTATAATCTATTAAATAAAAAATTAAACCCCTAAATTGTCATATTTGGGAGGGGGATTTCACCCATACTGGAACACTTTCGAGAGATTTTTTTGTTGGGGACATCGGACACTAGGTACCCTCCCCCTCCCAACACCACCCGTAGGCAAATCCTGGCGCCACTCCTGATATTACATTGATTGATAACTATCTGATTGACAAATGTTTGTCCGAGTTTAGCATTCTATGTTTGACTCTGATTTTAGCTTTTCATTTTGGTTTTAATATATTATATTATATATTTTATATTTTATATTATGTATTTTCAATATATTTAGTCAATTGTTATACACATCTGCATAAACAACTTAAAAATAGCATACAATTTGTAATTAAACATTAAGCAAACAATGTACTGTATACTTAATTTAATATGCAAAATTAATAAAATAGGCCTATTAACTTTTAAAATACGGCCTAGGCGTAGTATTTTTAGATAATGTTTATGTTAATATTTACAGTAAATAAGTGTAAAATTTATATTTATTAAACGGACCTAGGCCTAATCTAGGGGCTTATATCTGGGAAAAATTGTGTAATGTTGATTTATTATTTTTTTCTTCGGGGTAGGCCTATTATTACAGCCGGAAAGCAAAATTCAATTACATTAAAAGCATTAAAACAGGCATAACCCAGCTATATGCCTGCGATAAATATTCAGAACACAGCCCAGTCCCACCCTACAATACATTAGTAGCCCTACAATGAATGCTAATTGAGCAAGACACTTTATCTGCATTGCTTCTCTTCACCCAGGAGAATGGGGACCTGGTGGAGTTATATCTCTATTAAGGCCTATGGTGTGGGTTTTGTGTTTAAGTATAAGTTTGAGTTCGGAAATGCCGCGATCGTTTAGAGATTTAAAGTTCAGGCCGTAGCCAGGGGTTTCTATGGTTCGGGCGAACCCCCCCCCCCCTTTTCTAGCGACCCCCCCTTTTCTAGCGAATCCCCCCACCCCTTTTCTAGCGAATCCCCCTCGAATTTTTTAATGAGTCACACTCGGACGGAATGTCTGTTTTTAACTTTAGACCCTACCCAGCATTAAAAATCAAAATTTAGCACCTAATTCATTATTTGGTCATCCGTTTTTAAATTGTAGCAATTAATACAAGCCTACATTCATAGATCTCAGCTTTAGAAGTTCGGAGATTTAAATTGAACGCAACTCCAGCAAACCATGACTACGATGGCTCCATAGAGCTATTTAATAATAATCCAATTAAACATCAAAGAAGAATACCGCTATGGATGGCTCACATAAGGATGGCAAACATCGATAAAAACCCGGCTGCCGTCTCAAATTTCACTGGCCTTTGGCTGAATGTTTGCAAGAAATGTACCAACCGGTAAAGAAACCGGTCGCCGTCTACCTAGAGTAAATGGTGCCACCAAACGAAGCTAAAGTTTTGCGACTTAATCAACTAATGCAGATAAAGTATTGCGACTTAATCACCTGATTGTGGATTGTGTGGTTAGTAAATTCCATAGCCACACTGCCCATAGCGCACACTAAACTATGTGCTGATGGAGCATTTTTGGGAAATTGAATCTCCCTTTTTCCATCCCAAACAAAATATTATTAATAAATCAACATGGTCCATCTCAGTCATCATAGCCAGTCACAAAATTAGGCTAGGAAGTTTGTTTTCAACAGCAGACACACACAACAAAACGGAGTGCGTCAATCGGAGTTTGTTAATTTTTAGTGATAAAGAATCATAACGTAGAATAACTGATTTTTTCCGTCCGTTGTTGCAAAGAAGAAAATGACAGATAGTCCTTTAAGGTGGGTTATTGATTACAAAATCAATTAGCCTAGCCTAGATGTTGACTAGCTAGGTTCGCTCCTCGTTCATTTAGAGACAGAATTAGGCCTATACCCCGACGACAACAAACTAGTGTATGCCTAGGCCTAAATACAGTAGGACGTACTACTAGGCCTAGGCTTTTGTTGTAAAAGTTAAAGTGCATGTACAGGATGCGCCATAGGTCTATATTATAAAAAAAAAACCACTTTGTTTATTATTGGTTGGCCTGAGATCTAGGCAGGCATGCCAGCTTTACCGTCGAAAGTCCTGAGATTCGACGATGACGTCAGTGGACGTTTACAAACGCCATTGATTGGAATAAAAATAGACGCGCTGAATTTCGGTTTTTTTAAATGAAAGATAGAATTTATTGAACATTTATCTATATAAAAACAAGATTAATATTGTATAAATTGTATTTTTAAAGATTCATCTATAATTCATATTTCATTTGGTAGACAATAAATATTCAGTAAGATATACTAAAAACGATTATTAATTCTGCAATGTGCATCAAATCTCAGCTATTATTAATCAGTATGTATTATGTTAACGTCTTAAAATAATAATTTCGAATAGGCCTAGTATATAACAAATAATTGTAATTAAAGTTTAGGTTCCCATGATGTTAGATGACGTATTTAATATGATAGGCCTACTATATTTTTGGCTCTGACTTCATTTAACGATGGCCATGGCCCTGTCATGACAATATTTGTAGATTTGTAGAATATATGTAGTAAAATAGTAGGCCTGCTATTATCTTGAGTGTACAAAATGAGAGTAAAGATTAAAGAAGAAGTACACAACTGAAATAATTTAGTTTTTAAAAGGAATCTAACATCAAATAAATTGCCATTTACATTTTACTTTTTGCAGAAATTACATATTCAATGATAAAATATTCAAAGGTAAAAAAAAAAAATCAACATTTTAACCAAAAAATAGTTTCTTATAAATATTTAACTTTCTTATTGATATACCAAGTGAGTCAATCACAATTTAATTGTTTGGTTTTCTACAGTGTGTTTTAGGAGGTTTTTGGGATTTAGCAATACCATTTGATCCTACCATAATTACTTTACCCTCACAACTACACGCCATTTTAATTCTTAGCATAATTGCCATATAACTATGTATATAATATAGTATTTCAGTTTACATTATTTAGTATAGTTTTAGGCACTTAAATTTACTTGGCGGGGAGTAGAAACCAAGTATGCAATTAAATAAGTTGCTTAAATAAATGTGGCAAAGACAAGCCAAACCAGTCACTAG